GTGGCAGTAGTTTCGTATAAGGATGAGATGAAAAGGGTTAAATATTTTGAAATAAAGTTTCCCGCCAGAGGACACGTGGCCCAATCAACGTGTTTCGTCTCTGCGTCAGACGAAAGCATATTTTCGTCTGACGCAGAGATGAAACACGTTGATTGGGCCACGTGTCCTCTGGCAGGAGGTCACCGACGCTCCTCCTTCATTTCTCCTCTTTTGTTTCAAGAACGCCTGCAAACCGCCATTGTTGACAGTCTGGACCTTCGGTGAGGTTATTTTTTATCATTTTAGAGTGAGTTTTGAGTGTGATTCGTGATACATTGCACAAAATTGTCCAGATCGATTGGGTTTGGAATGATTTGTGGTGTTGTTGTTCTGAAACTTTGAGAAAGTTGGGAGAACGGATGCCGGAGAGACGTTATGGTCCAGTGGAGTTGTTGCCGTCGTTAAGAACCCACTGTCACCGAAAAACATGTTGTCCGCCCCTGCCGTCGTCCCCCACCCCCTCTCTATCGATCCAGGTTTTTCAATTTCTGAAAATATTTTAAATTTTATATTTATTAATAATAGTAAAAGGTTGTATAAAATTTTATTAGAGTAATATTAGATTAAAAATTTGTAGATATATCAACATAATCAGAATTTGTATAATTAAATTTTGATAGTAATATTAAGAAAAAAAAATTAGAGTTTACATTTAGAATAATTAGAATTTGAATTAAAAAATTTTAAAAATTGTAAAAAATAATTAAAAATCAAATAATAAATAGTTAAATAAAATTGAAAATAGAAAAATATAAAATAGTTGTATGGTTGATTAATTATATAAGAAATAATAAATAGAAAAAAGTGTAACAAAATTATAACATAAATTATGTTTTTTAGATTAAATAACATTTAAGAATATAAATTAAAAGATTGATTTATGATTAATGAATAAATAATTACAAAAATGTTAAGAAGGTAAAAATTGAGAGCATTAAAATTAAGCATATACATTTATATAAAAAAGATTATATTAGCAAAAATTTGAGTTTATTAAATAATTAAAAAAAGAAAATATATTTATTTATGGTTAATTATGGTTTATGGTTTACCATCATTTCTCAAGGGGAACTATTGTGATGAATATGCATGAACGACATTTTGCACAGAGTAAACATCATCAACATATTGCCAAAAGTCAATACTTACCAATGCACAGGCAGCAATCACATGTGAGCATGGAAATCGATATGCCTGAAATTTCCCACATTCACAGTATCTTCTACATAGAACAACAGTCCATTTATTACCACCCATTTGCGTGATAGGATTAAAGGCCTCTTCAATCTCGAATGTTGTTCTTGCTATATCATATCGTCTCACTTGATGCGAAGATGCTTCCTCTTGATTTTTCTGCATTTTAAGCATTAGTTTTGAACAAAACCTCTTACCATGGTTCAAGTCATTCATTGCGTCCTCTCCACGCTTCACAAAATATTCAACCATTCATCCATAAATGCATTTGACAAGAGCAGTTATAGGTAAGTTTCTTGCTCCCTTTAATACCTTGTTAATAGACTCTGACAAATTTGTAGTCATATGTCCATAACGGTGTCCATCGATGTCATGACTCAAAGCCCACTTTTCCTTCGATATGTTGTCGATCCACCTCTGTATTTCTGGTGATTCAGTGCGGAATCTTCTCAACTTCTCTTCAAATACAAGCTTTGAAGGTATATATGCTGCAATGCACAAGCTCTACATGACTTTACAATTCAAATAAATATAAAGTAAGAGGAAGCCAAATATGAATTAAATCATGTTACCTAATTTTATCAGTTGTTTTTTTAATTCAATGTTCTTGAATCTATGGTTGACATTGCTCGCAATATGACGAATGCAATAAACATGGTATGCATTAGGAGGTTGTCATCCAATATGTGAGTTTGAAACAACACTTTTGATGCTTTGATGCCTATCATATATTAAACATATTCCTGTCTTGGTTGTTACATGGACACGAATCATTGCCAAAAACCATTCTCATGCTGATAGAGTCTCCCCCTCAACAATGGCAAATGCAAGTGGTAGGACACAATTATTCCCATCTTATGTTGTTGCAATTAACAATGTATGACGATACTTACCATACAAGAATGTTCCATCTACTTGAACAATAGGTTTGCAAAAGTTGAATGCTTCCTTACATTGATGAAAACACCAAAATAATCGCTCAAATACTCTAAATCTGTTGTCCTCCTGATGCCCAACAACAAATGGCTTCATTTCAATCTTATAAATAGAACCTGAAGCATGAAATTGCATGTACTCTAACCATCTTGGTAATGTAACATGTGATTCATCCCAGTCACCAAATATTCTTACAATCGCCTTTTGTTTTGCCTTCCAAGCTTTTTTCTATGAAATTTTATATCCAAATTGAGTTGTCATCCTTTCTTGAATTAGACTTATAGGCAATGATGGTTCAAGATTAACCATACCTATACAAAACAAAAATAAAAATTGGTAAGTATCTTTATAGAGAAAATACATCACAAAATCAGAGATTATTCAAAACTTACCAATTATGCATGAAGAAATCAAATCTGAATCTAGTTTGGTATGGTCTTGAGATATTGTAGAGTTGAGACATGTATGCTTACCCCCACACCTTGTTATTTTCCACTTCACTGAATTTTTTAGCAATTATGCTCTTATTCTCCATAGGCAACCATTGTTATGATTTAAACACCTCACATGCAATTTTGTTGGTTTTGACTCAACAACAAAATAATTCTGATGTATTCTCATTGCATGTTGTTTTAAGGCATTTTTAACTTCATCTTTTGAGTTAAATAACAAACCCACATGTAACGAATTTCTAATAACCTATGAATTATCTTCACTAATTTCTTCTGCTTCAATTTTTTCGTTTGGGTGGTCCCAATTAATAAATTTGTAGTGTGGACTTACATTCCAAAAAGGTATTTCACCTACAGCTACATTTAAACATACAATATTCATCATTAAAATAAAATAAACAATTTAATTAATTTACTTTTTAAATCTTACCTCCAACATTTTCTTGTTGTAAATTTAAGTTTGAATCAAAATCACCATCAATGTCCATATCTGACAAGCTGTCTAAAGGAATATGTCCTTCATCAATATCATCTGTCTCATCATCACTATTGACTTCATTATCTTCATCTTCATAACTACATAAATCTCCACATCCTTCAAAATACAAAAACTTATTCAATATATGTTGTCACTAAAAAAAATTTAAAAATAAATTATAACAATATAATTTATACCTTCTATAACATTTATATTGACCATTTCCATAAGATTAGGCGGTGACATTGATAAGCTTAAGTCTAACATATTCGACCCACCTCTTGAACTTTCACCAAATGCAATATCCACATATAATTTAATAAGTCTTGTAATATTTTGTTGTTGATACGCACTAATCATACAATCAATATCTTCATCATTACATATATCCAATGTATTGTATTGTTTAGCGCTTGAATCAACCATAAAGCGAGAAATTATTCTAGATATGACATGATTATTACTAAGATTCAACTTGTCATGAATCTTTTTCTTTAAATTCATATAATTTATCCCTCTTCTTATTTTTATCATTTTTTTATTACCTTCAAATGTCACACTTTCGTTTCCAACAACAATTTTTTCATTCCAATATACAATAATAATAATCTCATTCATCCTGCATTTATAAAAAAAAAAAAAACATATCAATAATTATTTACAATTATACTTATTTATATAAATAATATAAATAATTTATTTGTAACACACAAACATATTATTATTTTTTACATCATTTTTATATCATAAAAAATGTTATATCTTTAATACATATTCAATTTATATATAATAACATATTTACAATAAATATAAAATTATTTTTTTAATTAAAAAATTTATATTAAATATCTACTAAACTTTTATATTTTTTTTATAATTATCTAAAATATTAAATTTTAATTTTAATATACACAATAATATATTTATTAAATATTTATAAATTTTAACTATCTCTATTTATAATAATTAAAACTTTTTAATAACTAAAATATTAAAAAAAAATTTGAAATTTACTAACCTCAAAAATTTGCTTTCAATCTTCAAACTACAGGAATAGCTTTCAATTTGAGATTTAGATATATCCCTTTCAATTTCACAACCCACCTTTCAAACTTTCATGCTGATTTTGACCCAGATTTCAAACATTATATATAGGAAATTTTGGCTGGATAAAAGGGTGTAGCAAAGACGGAAGGACCGCGGGATAAAAAGGCTTTCGTCTAAGATATAAGCGAAATGACATCTTTTTGTCCTGACAGGAGGTGAAATGAGTCCCTTTTTCGTCTTGTTTGTGGACAAAATTATAAGATTCAAACACGTGTTCAAATCCTATACTTTCGTCTTAGATTGAGACGAATTTATAGTATTAAGACACTTGTCCTACATTACAGATACGAATTGAGTGACGAATGTCAACATATAACGTATTTTGTCCCTATTTTAGGCGAAATGATTAAATTTAAAATAAAAAAATTATTTTTGTCTGATTGGTATACGAAATACATGCTGATGTGGCAAAAAAAAAAAAAACCTGGAAAGGGAATAAGTTTTAATTTTGTTTTAATTGATAATTATTTTTTAAAAAAGCTTTATTTTAATCATTAAGCCCAAATTTTTGGGTATAACACCTTATTCAACCCAAATTTAAAGGTGTCCTTCCAATTACTTTTCTACATGATTCTTCCGGCTAACTGCTGAAGAGGGTTTAAACTGAAAAATACAAGCAGAGCAAATGGCGTCTATGGTGTTCTCCTCCACAACTACGGACTCTCCGAAAACCAGGTGTCTGTCATGCTCTAAAGGTGAATGTAGTTACTTTTAGCAATACTCTTCATCGGCAACGCTTTTGAAAGGTACCTTCGTCAATTGCGTTTCTACCTGTAGAGTATGTGAGCGAATAAATGGTTCCTAATTTTCTGATTATAAGATTTACTGCAACTGCATATGCATCATCATTCACACACTACAACAATAAGGGAACCCAAATCCTATTGGGTTCTCTTCTGCTACACAAACACAATGCTTCACTTCATCTTTTCAGATCATTCACCTCTGATATAAACAACCATAAAGGTGACACCTTTACTGTGTCTTACCTCGTAAACTCATGTGGGGTGTCCCCAGAATTGGCCAAGAAACTCTCCATAAAGGTGCATTTGAAAAACCCAGATGGCCCAAATGCTGTTCTTGATCTTCTCAAGGCCTATGGGTTCTCCAAAACCCATGTTGCAAATCTTGTGGCTAAATATCCAGAGGTGCTTACTGCAAAGGCCGATAATACCCTTTTGCCTAAACTCAAGTTCTTTCATTCTGTTGGAGTTTCCAACACTGACATGCCTAAGATTATAATCCGTAACTACCTTATTTTGCGGAGAAGTTTGGAAAAGTGCCTCATCCCACGTTACGAGTTACTTAGAAGTGTGGTTCGCAATGATGAGGAAGTTGTTAGAGTTTTGAGAAGCGACCCATTTGGTTTTACATATTGTGAAACAAGGAATCATTTGGTTCGAAACATTGAGGTTTTGAGGCAATGTGGTGTGCCACAAGCTTCCATTTCTCTCCTTGTGGTCCATTTTCCCTCCGTGTCCAATGCAAAGCATTCCAAATTTGTGGAAGCTATAAAAATAGTTGAGGAAATTGGGTTCGATCCTTTGAAAACATCTTTTGTCCAGGGTCTCCAAGTGCTTTTACATCTGAGTAAAGTGAGATGGGAGACGAAATTTGAGGTTTATGAGAGGTGGGGCTGGGACCGCGAAATGGCCCTTCGAGCATTTATAAAGTTTCCCACTTTTATGGCTTTGTCAGAGAAGATAGTTACGGAAAAAATGAATTTTCTAGTGAATGATATGGGTTTGACATCAGAAAATATTGCTGAATATCCTCCAATTCTGGCCTACAACTTGAAGAAGAGGATTATCCCTAGATTCTCAGTAATTAAAATCTTGGTATCTAAAGGTCTGCTTGAGAATAACTTGCACTTCAGTTCCTTCATATGCTTAAGTGAGGAAAAGTTTTTGAAGAAATTTGTCAACAACTTTCAGAAAGATTTGCCTCATTTACAAGATGTATACACAGATTTGATCAATTGTGAGAATGTGATATAGTCTTTTAAGGCTTTTGCAGTCTATTGTTCTTACTTTCAACTTTTCTGTTTCAATAAAAATTTTCACTTTCTGTTTTATTTTTCTTGGGTAGAGGTACATTTGATCGAATTTATAGGGTATTGGTTGTATAATCAAGTATTGATGAATTTTATCTTGATTGCTGTCTTTTTGTTCTAAGTATGTTTATCACTTATGGGAAACTTGTTCCATCCCTGCGATTTTTTGCATCCATTTAAACAAAAATAACCTGTGATAGACTTTTCTATGCTTAAAACTATCTTTGAGCTAGAGTGTACTGAGGGGATAAAAGACCATGTTCATTTAATTTGAAATTGAGTCAAATTGCACTTAATTGTTCTACTATTACCTATGTTTAATAAATGAGTTATGTTAAAATGGCTTGCAACTTTAGGATATGGACCCTTAAACTTGTCAATATATCTTGTTAATGTATACTGTTTTGTGGAGTTGCGGTTACATTATTACATTTTTATTTTACTTTTGCCAATTACTTGTAATCTTTATGATATGTAGATTATTTTGTGAGAATAACTGGAAAGGCAGGGAAGTTTAGGGTGTGATTGGAAATATGTTGGGAAACAACCTAACATACATTTACCAGGAAGCAACTAATCATTTCTTCTCCGTTTATATGCTTGGAAGTTCGAACTTCATGCTCACCGGAAAACAAGCACACACTTTCACAAATATTGTTGATAGCCAGTGTAAATTTACTGCTTTGTTGTTTCTTTAATGAAGATATTGAAGACCAATGTGCTGAGGAATTTAGCAGCATTGGCAAAATATTAGAAAGTTTCCTAATGTTATGATATTGTCAGAAAAAATGGTTATAAAAAGATAGTTTTCACTTTGATTCCTTTATATGCATAACTGCGGAAAACTTCTTCGAGAAATTTCTCATCGACTTTCTCAAAGATTTGCCTCACTTACCAGGTTCCTGCAGAAATTTGATCAATCGTAAGAATGTTATGTAATCTAAGCATTTGCAATCAGCTGGCCTTGCTTCTATCTTTTCTATTTTGATACTAAATCGAACTTCGAATTTTAAGGACAATGTGCTGAGGAATTTAGGTCCTGTTTGAAAGAACTTACAAACAACTTATGAAAATTGCTCTAAACTTTCGTAAGCTCTTTTGGGTTTATTTCAGTTAACTTATGGGTACAGCTGTTTAAAAAATATGTTGTTTTTTACTCATTTCAATGAATTTTATGATTAAATTTTTGACATGTCATAATTTGAAAAGAAATTTTTGAATGACGAGCATAATTAAGTTGTTTTCAAATATACCCTTAGTAGCATTGGTTACCCATCATTTGCATTCCCATTACAAAGTATCAACTACTGTCTATTAATTATGAGTACTCACTCTTGAGAGTGAAACTTTCCTGAACACTCCTTGCACCTTCACGCCAAGGGTTGCATCTCCAGCTGCATCTTGACTGAAATATTTGAGGCTATATTATGTGCTTTTCACCTGTTGATATTGCTATTCGATTTTTAATTTCTATTTTTAAAATAAAACCAAACCGAAAGATATATATATATACTGTACTTATGTTAATTCTTTTGTTATATCTCTATCTAAAATCTAATATCTTTTGTTTAATCTTATCATTATTTTGCATAAATGTAATATTCTTATTTACTTTAAACTTTTATACTCTTTTCTTAATTGAGCATTCTTTATTAACAAATTTATCATTCTTTTACAAGTTCACTTGTTCGATTAATATTTTAGTTTTCTCAGCAAATTCAATCCACTAATATCTTTTACCTTATTGAGTCACTATTTGATCTAAAAAAGTTAAAATAAAACTTATATAGAAAGAAATATTTTTTTTAAAAAAAAATAAGTATTAAAAAATATTCAAACCAACTTGTTTAATTTGTTTTTTATATTACTTTCAAATTGAATCAAATCAAATCACATTATTTAAGTTATTACGTTTTACATGAAAATTGAACAAAGTTGAATGATAAACACGCTTAATTTTGAAATTCTCACATCAAGCATTAAAACTACAATAAGACATTTAATTTTCTAAGGAGGTATATTTTGAAGTCAGAAAGAAAGGCCATCAAGGCAACTATAGCTTGGAGAATTAAGAAGTTATCTCAATCAACAAATATAATGATAAACCATCAAACCATTATAAGCAAATATTGTTGTTGTTGATATCAAACCCATCGGTTGAATCAGCTAAACTGAGAACCAGCTTAATAAATGATTTAGAATATCAATTAATAGCTATCATTAAAATAGGTTAAAAACCAAAAACTTGATGATCATTTAGTTGAGTCTTTTCATAAAGGGCAATCTTTTTTTTAATTACACTAAAATAGTCTACTACTAAAATAATAACTAAATTGGTAACTTTGAATCATCATAATTGTTATAGGCTTAGCTAGCTTGCTAGATAGTTAAGCAGTTTGTCTTCACTTACTACACCTGTCCATGTAAGACTTTCAAAACTTTTCCTGACAATAAAAAAAAATTATAGTGCTTTACCTCAATTTACCAAGTCATTCAGTATATGTATTATACATTTTATTTATAATAAGCTATGTTTGCCTATTGCAAAATGGTGCTTACCCTAAATTTTACATAAAAATTAGTTTATATCTTGTTTAGTTCTTGTCTCACCTTGATTGCATGGCTAAGAATCTTCTTTGGCCTCTATATTGTACATGGTTCAAACTTAAACACAGCCAATTACAATTATAAATAATGTGTAATTTTTATTGTTATATATTTCGTTAATTATTATTTGATACATGCATATCAAATTTATTGTCTATATTTTTATCTCATTCATGTCGTGTAACAAAAAAATCATTGACTCAATACTTAAGTAAAAAAATACTAATCAGTTCTAGAAATGCATATTATAGAGGTTTATTCAAATGCTTACCATGGTTAGAATAACATAGAACAACCAGTACTGCTGTTAAAAGTTAATCTTGTATGAAAAACTACTGAACATAGGTAGAAAAAGTCTTTGCTCTTTGGAGGTGCTCAAGTGACTCCAAACAAAAATATTGAGCAACTTGAACATTTCAATTCCTTTAACCATATTACACCTTACTTCTCACTTCAGCCATCTCACTTTGTAGCAAGCTCGAGTTAGGAGACAACTGATTTTGACTAAGACATTTAAGTCTATTTTGGTCTCAACTCACATGATTTAACTGCACATGTTCATCCACATTCTAAGACATTTGATAAGTGATATTTTTATCATATATATTATAATTCACTCGTATAAACACTAGATGTATTTTCATACAATGATGGTTACAGTACTAAGTATGCTAAAAAGAGGAAATTCCCTTGGTCAAGTTTGCAGTCTACTATATTCTACACTAATCTTGATCAAATATCTTCTAATTTGGGTGTCGTAGTGTTTCTTGCAAAAACACCATTATTGAAGCCAATATCCAAGAGCCACCATCAACCACCCCCCGAGACTATATTAGAGGAGCTTCCATTCTAGTCATTCAATACACATTATAGAGTTAACAATATCATCAAAAGATATAATTTCTACCAAAACTAATCACAACAGAGGATTTCCTTCTATAGTAAACTAGAAATGGCATCCTAAGTTGAATATATTTATAGTAAAATCCAAACATTCATGATTCACTCTTAACAGTGATTGGTTATGCTTCAAAAGTTGTTCTTCAATGAAATTTATAATAAATTGAGTAAAACAGTTATCTGTATACTATCATATTATTTATCTTTTTATTTTTCTATTTTATTCAAGTTCATTATTATATATATCAATCAATCATTGCAGGAGGTTGGTCACTCTATACTCAGTCCATAATATACATACATATATGTTCAAAATAAAGATCATACACATCTTCAATGCATTACATCACAATATTTTCATGAGCACAAATATATTATGTTCTTAGTAATAAGATAGAGTTCTCCTTACCTTAAAATAGAAGTTTAGTAAAAGGGTTTGTGAGGGATCTTTCTCAAAAGGCTGAGTTCTTCCTAAATATCACAAGAGATCCTATTTAGAAGAGAAAAAATAAGAAAATAACCAAAAGAATGAAAAACCAAGCATCAAGAACTTACCAAAGAGTAAGAAAAGTGAACTCTCAAGCTTGGATCAGAGAAAGGTTGGGACTTTTCAAGGATTTTCTTAGAAAAAAAGGACAGAGAAAATGGAGAAAGGTCATAACTTGGATTATAATCCAAGTTTCTCAACTTGGAAACCTTTAAATATCCCTCAAATCGCGACATTCTCACTACAGCGAACTATTTCTTGCTACAGTAAGCCCTTCTTTTGCTACGGCAAAAAAATCAGACATATTTTCTCCCTTATTGTTTGTCATTCTAGTTATAGCGAAAGTTCCCGATGCAGTGAAAGAATCTTTGCTGTAGCAGAGAGAATCCTTGGTGCAGTAAGAGGCTTCAAAGAGCCTGATTTTGGATGGCTCCTCGTTCTACAACAAAAGATTCTGCAACTCACACACCTAAAACTCTTTTAATTTCAAGCAATATGCATCAATAATTATCATACAAAATAAAATTAATAAATAATAAAAATAAAGGTGTTACACTTTTTATGCTTCATCCTCTAATATATTTCATGAATAATGATTGGAATTTTAAAAAAGTCATTGTGAGATTTCGTTATTAATTGAATTGTTATTCATGTTTCAGAGAGAATGAACAAGAAATGAGAGCCTTTAGAAAAATAACGGATAAAAAGGGAAGAAAGGTCAACTTCTTTTAAAGATTTACAAAATCAGCAAGATACTTAGCCAGATACACGACCATGCATCTGCATGTGCACTTTTCAAGCTGTTATGAGCGCAAAGGCAGAGATCTACCTAGGCATGTACATTCCCATATATCTACTCATATACTTTTTCGATCACATAAAATAAGCAAAGTCTTTGAAGCAGAGATATACATGGTTAAGTACATGACCATGTTTCTAAGCCTGTAGTTCAATCAGAAGTTTAAAAGGCTGAATTATTAAGAAACCAGAGATATAACAAGCAAGTAGATGACCATGTATCTGAGAGTGTAAAATGATGCGCATCAGATTTAAACATTTGTGAGAAAGTGAACAATTGGACTATGTAATATAAAAAGAGGATGATGCAAAAACCTAAGGTAGACGATTGGGAAAGAAGAAAACGTGATGGCTACAATTTGGGATGACAATAAGTCTTTCCTCTTGTTCTCTAATCTTGAATTGTAATTTGCCAATGTTTAATTTCTAATTTCCTTTTTGAGTACTTAAATATAATGAATCTTTTGTAATCCTTTCTTGGAATTCTCCTTCAGACTATTTCAAGTTTTGTTTTCTTGAGTTTAATTGACTAGTTTGGCTTGTTGGTTGACTATTCAGTTTATCTCCTATCTTATTTTCATATTTATGGTTTTGAGTAGAAATCTAGCATGAATTGATCATTACTTATTTGAAAAGACTTGAATGCAACTTTAGAGATAGAATGACATAAGTTTTCTATATTAAGAATAACCTTAATTGTGAAATTCACAAATCAAATTTAATGTAACCTAAGAGATGTTAATTAAGGAAGAGATTTCAATTAATCAACTGAGAGTTGAGAGCTATTATCCTTGAGAAAGGTATTGACTTATATTAGAAATTCTCGCAGCTCTAAGATTAAAAATGAGTAGTTAAGGAAGTAATCTAGTTATATGAATTTACTTAACCCATTTTCTAAATTTTAATTCTTGAAATCAGTTTTCTTTCTAATTGTTATTTTTTATCTTAATGAAATTTGTCATCATAATTCTTTTCTTTGTGATCCTTAACAACTGAATAATTAAGGATTGAAGATTTTAATTAATAGTTCCCGTAGATACAACACTTGATACTCCTTTTTAATATACTACTATAACAATAGGTGCACTTGTCTATTTATTGATTTGAGTCATCACTTCACATTGTAAGATAACTAGAGTTAAGCTCACAAGATTAAAATCAACGGCTCTTTGTCTCATTTTCACTTAAGACTAATTTAATTTGCTTGGAAGCACTAAATTGAATACCATTTCACTTATGGAAGGAAGAGGTCGTTTAAGTGAGACAATCTTATGGCTTCTTCTATATCGCTTAAGCGAGTTTCGCACATTTCTCAAGCGCATGTTTCCGTGCTTAAGCTAAATTTTCTTTACTTAAGCGAATTTAATTCAATTTTGCTTAAGTGAGACAAATACTACCCATTTGAGAGCAAGAAGATGAATAATGTGCAAAAAAAAAAAAAAAAGAATTGTTCAAAAGTAATCATGTATAAGTAGGTGGTGAATTTTTAATGAGTTGAATTGTAAAACAAGTTAACTTAAGCTATCTAGATTTTTTTTTCAAATGTCTCTCTTAACCAACTAATTTAAACATGTTAACACTTATAGTAATTAAGTAAACTTATAAGCTCTTAATTTAGATTAATATAAAAAAAATGTCACAATTTAAATATTAGTTAGTAATATAATAAATATTAGCTAACAAGTGATAATGAATAACTTTTTATGATATATTTTTATTAATTGAATTAAATGTGTGAATTAACCTTTTGAATTCGTAGGTTGAGTAAGGAATTTTTTTTTTTCATGATTTTCTAAATTGAGTTAACTCACTCTTAAATTTATATTTTATTTGACTAATTTTGTAACACTTTCAATTTTGCTATATTTGTTTTTGAAAAAATAGAAATTTTGGTGTAAGGTTTCTTGTTATAGCGAGGTATGATTGCTCCAGTAAGCCAGATCATTTAGAAATATACTCTCAAGAGTGCTCTCGCTGTAACTAGAAAGATTCTTGTTGTAGCTCGAATGATAGATAATAGAAAAAAATAATTATCTAATTTTTTTGCTATATCGAGAAAGTCGTGAGTTTAAGATGTATTTAAGGGTTATGTAATCTAGAATTTTTATTACAATTCAAGTTCTCATTTTTATTAACAAATTTATCATTCTTTTACAAGTTCACTTGTTTGATTAATAATTTTCTTTTCTATTTTTGTTTTCTCAGCAAATTCAATCCACTTATATTTTTAATAAATCATGGCAAAGGTCGAATACTTCTGAACTTAGCTCAAATTGCATATTTTTAATAGATCACATTCCAGCTATTCAAGAAACAATAAAACATGTATTATAGAGTTCATTAACTCAAACAAATAACCCAATCTCATTTTTCTCCTAACTTTATCTAGAGAATTCTTATTCAAGTGATCCTTAAGTCGAATATTAGGTTTTAACACAAAGAATCCATTTTTAAACTTAGATTTCTAAAATAAAAAGCATATAACCACATACAAAAGCAAAGAATGTATACAAAATTTATACACATCACAAAAGTTTTGGTGGGAGATGTCTGAAAGATCAAATTCTTTTTAATCATAACAAAGTAATGTAACTTTTGAGAAGAAAGAAATTGATGAAATAAAAGTGAGTTTGAAAATATAATCTCTAAGAAACTTAATGGAAATCGAGTGGAAAAGATGTTCAGGATTTGAGAGAAATTTTGAGAGCAAAAGTGTTTTTAAGTTGTGAAAGAGTGACATGAGAATATTTACTTGCCTTATAATTGAAGTTTATAAAAAATCAAAGTTATGTAAATGTCTTTTACTCAAGGATTCTTGCTTGAATAAAGTTATTCTCACTTGAGTGACAATCTTTTCATGCCTGACCAAAAAAATAAGAAAAGATTTTTACATATCTACTGATATTCTCACTTAAGCGAAATCACTCTCGTCTGAGTGCAAATTAATATTCTAAAGAGCTCCTATTTTGTCACTCATTTTTGCCTAAGCAAAAGGGTTTCTCGTCTGGAAGAAAGTATAGTTGAGAAATTGTTATACATTCTCACTTGGGCAAAATTACTCTAAAGGCGTTTCTATCCATATTAATATCTCATTTGGGCGAAAAATATTGTAGTTTTTTTAAAATATAACCCTTCATTTTAAAAACAAAATATAATTAAAAAAGTAAGGTGTTAAATTTTTTAGATTTTCAATCTATGTCTACTCCACATCTTTCTCTTCTTCTTCCATTTCATTTTCATCCTCATCAAGTTGAGGTGTAAGAATTATTTTTTTACATTTTCTAAAAAGTGAATTAACTTTAAATTTTTTTTGTTCCTACTTCCTTTTTTCTTAACAAGAAACTGAACGAGAAATTTGATGGAGCATACTGCAACCAAATACATTATTTTAAAAGTAATTTCACATTAAGAAGAAAATAAAAAGAAAAGATAAAACTTATAAATTTTTTTTTTTAACTAAAGATTGCAAAGGATTTAATTTGGAAACTTCAAATATAGAAAATGATGTCTATGATTTTTTCCACTATTTTAATATTTTTAATAATTTTTTATCTTCTAAAATTTTTAATTTTTAATTTGGCCTCTTCTTATTTTTATTTTTTAAATTTATACTTTTAGATTTGTTAAAATATAAATTTTATGTTAATAATTTTTTAATTTTGTGTTATCTTCTTATAGCGCATTTGATTAATTTTTATAATATATATATAAAATTGACATAAATTTACTCGGCATTTAAAATTTTAATAAAAAATAAAATTAATTACACATTTATTTGTAAATATATATATATATATATATAATTTTTTCTCTAATTTTAATTGTTTATATTTAATTCTTCAAAATTTTTAGATGCTCAAAATTAAGTTATTTATTCTAAAACTAAGACTTTTATTATATTTTGTATTTTATTTATATTTTTAATTAAATATTATATATTATTTATTTGTATAAGTCAATAAAATATTATAGTTTTATTATATTTTTATTAATTATTGAATAAAATTTTAAAATAGAAAATATAATTTGAAGATTAAAAAATTAGAAAGACTAAATGTAAAGTATTAAAATTAAAAAAATTAAAATTATTCATAAATTGTAAAAATAAAAAATACAATTAAAGCTAAAAAATACACAGGATATGATATTATTAACAATATATCTCATTCATATTATGTTAAATAAAATAATATGAATGGATTCAAAAATTCGGTAAATATTGTAATAAGATGAATTAAATAAAAAAATTGATAAATTAAATTTTAAAAAATCATCAAGAAAGAATAAATAAAATAAATCACAAATTTTGGCGATACCACTTCATTCAACCCAAATTTAAGAACGTCCTTCAAATTTCTTTTCCATTCGATTCTTCCGACAAACTGCGGCAGAGGGTTTAAACTGAAAAATTGAAGCAGAGCAGATGGCTTATATGATGTTTTCCTCCACTACTACGGACTATCAGAAAACCAGGTGCCTGTCATGCTCTAAAGATGATGATATGTGTCTTCAGCAAAACTCATCATTGTAAATGCCATTCTTTTGGAAGGTACCTTCATCATTTGCAATGGTTTCTAATTTTCTGATTACAAGATTCACTGCAACTGCATCATCATTCACACACTACAACATTAATAAGGGTACCCTACTTCCATTGAGTTGTCTTCTGCATCACAAACACAATGCTTTCCTTTTATTCCTCAACTCGTTCGCTTCATCCACCTCTTCTGATTCTGAATCAGATCAACACTACCGTAAAGGTGACACGTTTACAGTGTCTTACCTCGTAAACTCATGTGGGGTGTCCACAGAATTGGCTACGAAACTCTCCAAAAAAGTGCATTTGAAAAACTCATATGGCCCAAATGCTGTTCTTGATCTTTTCAAGACCTATGGGTTCTCCGAAACCCATGTTGCCAAACTTGTGGCTAAATGTCCAAAGGTGCTGGCTGCAAAGGCAGAGAAAACCCTTTTGCCTAAACTCAAGTTCTTTCATTCCATTGGTGTTTCCAACATTGACATGCCTAGGGTCATAATTGGTAACTACACTATCCTGGGCAGAAACTTGGAGAAGTGCATCATCCCACGTCATGAGGTACTTAGAAGCGTAGTTCGCGATGATGAGGAAGTTGTTAAAGTTTTGAGAAAAGGCCCATATTCCTTTACATATTTTGTCACAAAGAGTGGTTTCGTTCGAAACATTGAGGTTTTGAGGCAACGTGGGGTGCCACAAGCTTCCATTTCTCTCCTTGTGATCCATTTTACCTTTGCCTCGAATGCGAAGCATTCCAAATTTGTGGAAGCTATCAAGATAGTTGAGGAAATTGGGTTTGATCCTTTGAAAACAGCTTTTGTCCAAGCTGTCCATGTGCTTTTAACTCTGAGTAGAGCGACATGGGAGTCGAGATTTGAGGTTTATGAGAGGTGGGGCTGGGACCGCGAAATGGCATTTGGAGCGTTTAGAAAGTTTCCCAATTTTATGATTTTGTCGGAGAAGATGTTTACAAAAAAAATGAATTTTCTAGTGAATGATATGAATTTGGCATCAGAAGATATTGCTAAATATCCTTCAACTCTGGCCTACAGCTTGGAGAGGAGGATTATCCCTAGATTCTCAGTAGTTAAAATCTTGATATCTAATTGTCTGCTTCAGAATAATTTGCACTTCAGTTCCTTCTTATGGTGTAATGAAGAAAAGTTTTTGAAGAAATTTGTCAACAACTTTCAGAAAGATTTGCCTCACTTACAAGATATCTACTTATGCCTTTGTAAGGAGTATTCTGATTCTATTCCTAGTTAATGTAGGACATCTTAACATGTTCCAACATGTTTACTTAGTTTTATTTTTCTTGGGTAGAGGTCAGGTACCTTTGATTGGGTTTATAGGATATTGGTTGTATAATCAAGTACTGATGATTTTCAATTTCAATATCACGGTTTATTTATTTTCTATTGATAAATACAAAACACATAAAAATGTGTCTAACTATCTACGTTTTGTAGGCCACCGATGAATTTTATCTTGATTGTTGTCATTTTTTTAAAAATATGTTTATCTATTATGGGAAACATTTGTTCCATCCCTGTGATTTACTCTGGTATTACATAACCACACTCTACTTTTTTCCATCCATTTAAACAAAAATGACATGTGGATAGACTTGTCTATGATTAAAACTACCATAGGCCTAGAGTGTAAAGAGGGGATAAAAGAACAAAGTTTATTTAATTTGAAATTGAATCAAATTGCATTTAGTTGTTCTATTATTACCTATGTTAAAATGACTTGCAAGCTTAGGATATGGCCCCTTCTACTTAAAATCGTCAATATATCTTGTTACTGTATACTGTTTTGTGGAGTTGCGGTTACATTTATATTTTAACTTTTGCCAACTACTTGTAATCGTTATGATATGTAGATTATTGTGTGTGAGAATAACTGTAAAGACAGGGAAGTTTAGGGTGTGATTGGAAATGTGTTGGGGAAGAGCCTAACATACATTCACCAGGAAGCAACTAGTTATTGCTATTTGCTACTCCGTTTATATGCTTGGAAGTTAGAACTTCCAGAAAACAAGCACACACTTTCACAAATATTGTTGATAGTCAATGTAAATTTAATGAATATTGAAGACCAATGTGCTGAGGAATTTAGCAGCATTGGCGAAATATTAGAAAGTTCCCCAGTGTTACGATATTGTCAGAAAAGATGGTTTTGAGAAAAATGATTTTCCTAGTGAAGGATATGGGTTTGTCATCAGAATATATTGTTGAATATCCTCAAGTTGTAGCCTACAGCTTGGAGAAGAGGATTATACCTAGAATCTCAGTCATAAAAATCATGAAATCAGATGATTTTCTTGAAAATAGTTTTCACTTTGGTTCCTTTATATGCATAACTGAGGAAAACTTCTTGGAGAAATTTGTCATCAACTTTCAGAAAGAGTTGCCTCCCTTACCAGATGCCTGCAGAAATTTGATCAATCGTAAGAATGTTATGTAATCTTTGAAGGATTTGCAATCAGCTGGCCTTGCTTCTATCTTTTCTATTTTGATACTAAATCGAACTTTGAATTTTAAGGACAAAGTTCTTCTGGGTTTATTTTACTGAACTTGTTGGTACAGCTATTTAAAATAAATTGTTTTTAAATCATCTCAATCAATTTTATGATTAAATTTTTTACATGAGCATAATTTGAAAAGAACTTTTTGAATAAGCGCTTAATTAAGTTCTGCATTCAAATATAACCTTAGTAGCATTGGTTAGTATTAGCAAAGATTGGGAGTTTTGTTATCTCTATCTTGTTGGTGCTTTGCTAGTGTAAATGTTTCGTTACTTGTACCCATCATTTGCATTCCCATTTTAAAGTATCAACTACTATACATTAATTACGAGTACTCACTGTTGACAGTGGAACTTTCCTGACTAATATTTTTGTTTTCTCAGCAAAATCAACCCACTTTAATTTTTATTCACTATTTTGATTAAAATTAAAATTTGTGAAAATAAATATTTTAAAAAATAATTCATAAAAAAGAAATGAAAAATTATTCAAACCAACCTGCAAAATATGAGTTTTATTTGATTTAGTCTTAATAACTTTGAAATTGAATAAAATAAAATCACATTATTTATGTTACGAAGTTTTACATAATTTACATAAACATAAAAATTGAACTAAATTGTTTAGAAAAATTCTCACATGAAGCATCAAAACTACAATAAGGCCTTTAATGTTCCAAGGAGGTATATTTTGAAGGTGGAAAAACATACCATAGGTCATAAAGGCAATTATAGCTTTGAGAATTAAGAAATTAGCAGCCAGTCAATAAATATAATGATAAACCATTATAAACAATATGATTCTTGTTGGAATCAAACCGATATGTTGAATAAGATAAACTGAGAACAAGCTTGATAACAACTAGCTATAATTCAAATATAGTTAAGTAGCTTGTCTTCACTTACTACACCACTCCATGTAAGACTCCTAAAATTTATATTGACAATAAATAAAATTCTAGTGCCTTACCTCAATTTACCATGTTAGTCAGTGTATGTATTATACATTTTATTTATATTAAACTATATTTGCCTTATGAGTACTCACTCTTGACAGTGAAACTTTCCTGAATACTCCTTGCACCTTCACGCCAAGGGTTGGATTTCCAGTTGCATGGTGACTGAACACATTTGAGGCCATATGTGGTAGAAGATTAATAAAGTGAATGGTAATTGCTGAAATGATAGGGTCCATGTGACTTCCTGTGCACCCACTAATAAAAAATTCAAACTGATTAAATAAAAAATATAAGAAGTTTCTTACTTTCTTTAAACTCTTACACTCTTCTTTATTTCTTCTTCCTTAAAAATCTATCATTCTTTCTTAAATTCACTTGTGTGATTAATATTTTTCTTTTCTAATTTTTGATTTCTCAGCAAATCCAATCCCCTATAAATTTTGACATTATTGAGTCACTATTTTGATCTAAACTAAAACTTTAATTAAAATTTATGTGAACATAAATATTATTTTAAGAATAAGTCAATTAATAAATTCAAACCAACCTCAAAAAATCAGTTTGATTTGATTTGGTTTGGTATTAATATTACATTCAAATTGAATCAATTTCAGACGACATTTTACATAAAAATTGAACTAAATTGAATGATAAACGCATGTAATTTAGAAAGTCACACGTGAATTATATACTTTTATATTTTTTATTTTAATTTTATTTTAAAAAAAGGCTTATTTACACTTGATTTTTATATATTAACTTATATGTGAGTTTTGTCTCATACTCGGAGTTAATTCTTTTAATTTTTTAAATATTTAAATTAAGTCATCTATTACAAAATTAAGATTTTATTGTATTTTTAATTAATTTTTTTTTAACTTTTTTATTTGTACAAATTAATAAAATGTCGTGCTTTCTTAATTTTTTTATTAATTATTGAATAAAATTTTGAAATATAAGACTTAATTCAAGTATTTAAAAAATTAGAAAGACTAAATATAAATAATTAAAATTAAGAAGTATAATTAAGCCTAAAAAAATACGAAAGATATGATGTTATTAATAGTTTTTCTCATTCGTATTACGTTTAAATCAAATCATATGAATCAATTCAAAAATTATGTAAATATTATATTAAAATAGACTAAATAAAAATAAAAATAAAGTTTGATAGATTAAATTTAAACAATTTATATAGAAAGAATAGATAAAAAAAAAATCACAAATTTTTGGAGTATAACAGCTTGTCTAAAAAAATTAAAAAATATCCTTCCAATTACTTTTCTAATCGATTCTTCCGACTTACTGCAGAAGAGGGTTTAAACTGAAAAATTCAAACAGTGCTAACGGCGTCTATGATGTTCTCCGCCACAACTGCGGACTCTCCGAAAACCGGGTGCCTGTCATGTTCTAAAGGTGTTGATACGTGGCTTTAGCAAAACTCAACATTATAAACGCCATTCTTTTGGAAGGTACCTTCTCAATGGTTCCTAATTTTCTGATTACAAGATTAACTGCAACTGCATCATCATTCACACACTACAACTATAAGGGAACCCTAATCCTATTGGGTTCTCTTCTGTTACACAGACGCAATGCTTCACTTTATCTCTTCAGATCATTCACTTCTGATACAAACAACAGTAAAGGGGTCACCTTTACGGTGTCTTACCTCGTAAACTCATGTGGGGTGTCCCCAGAATTGGCTAAGAAACTCTCCAAAAAAGTGCATTTGAAAAACCCAGATGGCCCAAATGCTGTTCTTGATCTTCTCAAGACCTATGGGTTCTCCAAAACCCATATTGCAAATCTTGTGGCTAAATATCCCATGGTGTTTGCTATAAAGGTAGAGAGTACCCTTTTGCCTAAACTCAAGTTTCTTCGTTCTATCGGGGTTTCCGACACTGATATGCCTAAGATCCTAATTGCTAACTATGATATCTTGCGCAGAAGTTTGGAAAAGTGTCTCATCCCACGTTATGAGGTGCTTAGAAGCATAGTTCGCGATGATGATGAAGTAGTTAAAGTTTTGAGAAATGCCCCATTTTCGTTTACATATTGTGACATAAGGAAGCATTTCGTTCGAAACATTGAGGCTTTGAGGCAATGTGGCGTGCCACAAGCTTCCATTTCTCTCTTTGTGATCCATTTTTCCTGCGCACCATTTGCGAATCATTCCAGATTTGTGGAAACTACCAAGATAGTTGAGGAAATTGGGTTTGATCCTTTGAAAACAACTTTTGTCCATGCTGTCAAAGTGCTTTTATATCTAAGTAAAGCCAATTGGGAGTCTAGATTTAAGGTTTATGAGAGGTGGGGCTGGGACCGCGAAATGGTCTTTCAAGCATTTAGAAAGTTTCCCAGTTTTCTCAATTTGTCAGAGGAAATGGTTACAAAAAAAATGAATTTTCTAGTAAATGATATGGGTTTGGCATCAGAAGATATTGCTGAATATCCTGCAATTCTGGCCTACAGCTTGGAGAGGAGGATTATCCCTAGATTCGCGGTAGTTAAAATCTTGATATCTAAAGGTCTGCTTGTGAATAATTGGCACTTCAATTCCCTCTTATGGTTAAATGAAGAAAAGTTTTTGAAGAAATTTGTCAACAACTTTCAGAAAGATTTGCCCCATTTACAAGATGTCTACACAGATTTGATCAATTGTCAGAATGTGATGTAGTCTTTTATGGCTTTTGTAGTCTATTGTCCTTACTTCAGACTTTTTTATTTCAATACTAAATTGTTCTCTTTCTGTTCCAACATTTTGACTTAAGAGTTTTATTTTCTTGGGTAGAGGTACCTCTGATCGGATTTATAGGATATTGGTTGTAAAATTAATTACTGATGATTTTCAATTTCAATATCTTGGTTTTTTTTTTTTTTTTTAATTTTCTATGATAAACACAGCCAGTATGATGAATTTTATCTTGATTGCTTTTTTTCAAAAAATATGTTTATCTATTATGGGAAACATTTGTTCCATCCCTGTGATTTATTCTGGTATTACATAACAACACTAATTTTTTCTGTCCATTTTAAACAAAATGACGTGTGATAGTCTTATCTATGCTTACAACTAGCATAGACCCAGAGTGTACAAAGGGGATAAAAAATCAAAGTTTATTTAAGTTTAAGTTGAATCAAATTGCATTAGTTGTTCTACTATTACCAATGTTTAATAAATGAATCAAATTGCATTTAGTTGTTCTACTAATACCAATGTTTAATAAATGAGTTCTGTTAAAATGACTTGCAACTTTGCAAGCTTAGGATATGGCCTTCTACTTAAAATTGTCAATATATCTTGTTAATGTAAACTGTTTTGTGGAGTTGCGGTTACATTTTTATATTTTAACTTTTGCCAACCACTTGTAATCTTTATGATATGAGATGTGTTGTGAGAATAACTGGAAAGAGGGAAGTTTAGGGTGAAATGAGTTGGCGAAGAGCCTAACATAAATTCACCAGGAAGCAACTAGTTATTGCTTCTCCATTTATATGCTTGGAAGTTGGAACTTCATGCTAACCGGTAAACAAGCACACTTTCACAGACAATTATGATAGTCAATGTAAATTTAATGCTTCATTGTTTCTTTATCGATGATATCGAAGACCAATGTGCTGAGGAATTTAGCAGCATTGGCTAATATTAGCAATGATTGGCAGTTTTGTCATCTCTATCTCGTTGAATCAAGCACTTACGCATAAAGTTATAGCCATTGATCAGCTGAAACTTTGTTTCCTTATATTTTATCACAGCTTTATCCCTCTTAAGGGGCTGAACCCTTTACAGGCATTATGGAGTGAGATTTTAAACCTGTTGAATCCTAAGAGTGATGTGAACCAATTAAAGCAAACACCTCTCGGTGTTTGTCGAAAGAAAGTTAAACTAGATGCTATTGTCAGTTTATTAGGTAATTTTGAGCATAATTTTGTCACTTTTTATGAATGATTTCGTAAGGTTAATAAGGGTAGTACTTTAGTTACTCTGGTAGAATTGCATCTTGGAGGCTCAAATTCATCCATGTAAAATTATTATTAAGCATAGTCAAACCAAAATTACTAGTTTGAGGTTCTGTTGAATTGTGTTAATTTGATAAATTATCTACATTGATATTATTTTATCAAGTACCATGCTGGAAAAGACTGGTAGCCATCATATATTCTTTCATAGTGTCTTGCATACCCTAATTTCCCTTGGATACCCCCTCTTTATTTTTGGTGTTGGAGTTGAAATCCGTTATATGTACTGCAAGTTCTGATGGGTAATGGTAGCTGGTTTATCAGTTTATGATTTTCGGTATGTTCTCTTAGCATACTCTTTTATTTCATTTTGTACCCATCACTACTAGTTACTTTTTTAAAACAAAGCTGAACCAATTCAGCCAACATCCCTTCATTGTGATTTGTTTTGGTGGCTTGTAACTCCTTTTTTTTCCCCATTATCATTGTGTTTAAGGTTGATAGGGAAACTTTGGGATTGTCACAGATATAAGGAATCTGATTGAGAGGCTTTAGAAAAGATCACAAAGATGATTAAGGAGAGATCAAAGACAAGGCCTTGGAGAATAATAATGGCTTTAAGTGATTAATGTGAATGGTTTATAATTTGTTGCCGTGAATTGGTGGTGATTCAAGAAATTCATGATGACATGAAAGCCATAATATCTTTTTCCTGCAGTTGATAAACTATTGTAGTTCTTTTGACGAAAGCAACAACATACACACATGAATTTAAAGCAAGAAAAATTATGAAACATTTTTCTATATAGAAGAATAAAGATGCTCTTATATTGCAACTAGGAAACCGTGCAACTCTACTAATATTCAATGCCAGCATGTCATGAATACTACTTTACTAATGTACGTCTCAAATGATTAGTACTTTCAACAAAAAGGTTCAAATTAACTGTAATAACATAAGATTTGGCTCAATTATAATATATAAATTTAAGGTTAATAGCATTTTAAATTCTTTCTCTTAATTTAAATTATTCACATTTAATCCTTTTATTTTATTAATTATTTAAATTAAGTTTTTCACATCAAAATATCAACTTGTTTATTTTTTTAATACATTTTTAAAAACAAATTACCACAATAAGTTTAAAAAAAATCCTTTTTTGGAGCTTTCTTTTTGGCTATGGCAGCCCTAGTTTTGCATTTTTTTTAGATAAAACTAATTCTTTTATTTTTAATTTATGTATTTTGTTTCATAAGAAGAAGACATTTGTCTGTATCAAGGATGAAATTCTGAAATGCTGATACGTGGTGCAATTTTTTTAATTTCATTTATGATAGGGATGAAACTTTGTGATGTTAACACATGGTGTGATCCTAGTACATTGATGAAACTATATGGATTGTGACATGTGTCATTGTTCTCTGGGTAAAATAGTGTAGTTACACTCTATTATCCAAAAATAAATTCCTCGATAAATTGTGAGACAGATGCAACAATAAATTTTACCGAGAGTTAGAAAAATTGTTTCAGGTTAGTTATGTTGTTTTTAAATTTAATTTTAAATGTAATTACACTTGTTATTTTAGTTAAATGTAAATAAGTTTAATTAGTGTAATGAATAGATGTAGGTAAAATTGATGAAATATTAGTTAAATAATTGTGTGTATGTTGAAATAAAATATATTTTTTGTTAGTAGTTTTTACAAAAGATTTTGGAATTATATTAGTAGAAGTTTAATATTAATTTTAAAATGATGTTATATTTGTTAGTTTAATTTGTTTTAAACATGTGTAATACGAATATTGAATATATGTCATGTTGAATTAAAATTTAATTTTTTAATTAGCATACATTAAATTTTTAAAATAAATATAAAAGATTTTGAATATATAAATGTAAATAGAAGTGAATATAGTATGTTTTTATGTGGTAAACATAATATGTTATTTATTATTTATATAGACTAGTAAATTTATAATTTTTATTAACATTGTCTTTTTCACTAATGTAAGATGAGTGATATTGTTATCATTGTTACATTGGAATGAAAAAAAAAATTCATAGAAAATGAAGGTATAACATTTGAAAGTAAAAAATTTTGATAAAGATAAGAAAAAAGATAAATTTTTAAATTTTGAAAAAAAGATTTATAATTTTTTTTTATTGATAATCACATTATATCTATATTAATTTTACGTTTTTTGGTTTATTTAAGTGCTAAACAATACACTTTATTAGATATACGTGACAATAAGGACATTAATTGTATGATTAGTATATATTAACATTAAATTATTACAATTGTTATTGAATTATATGCAAATATTGTATTTGACAAGAGTTCAAGAGTTAGTTCAGATATGTTAGACTTAAACTTATCTATCTAATTTTATAAAAATGATAAATATAAAAGTTACAAGAACTATAATACATTTAGCATAATAATTTATGACTTATTTCTAGTGACTGTACATATTTAATAATTAATTGTATTTTGAAGGATCTATGAAGACATCGATACAAATTATGATGATGTTGATGAATAACATTTTTTATTAGATAGCTTGTGAAATATTAGAGAACTTGTGTGGATTTTGATTTAAACTTAAATTTATCAAAACAAAATTTTAGAGATATTCTTAATGATACCTATATTGATTATATTTTAAATTTTTAGTGATGATGAATATTGATAAAGTTTATATGCAGACTAAGGTGAAATTTTTTTTTAAAATATAAATCTACATTACAATTATATTAATTAGAAATACTTAAAAAAAAAATATAAGCAAAAGATTTTAGTAAAAATATTTTATTGGTTATTGGAGATCTAATATACTTAAGAGATGAAGTTAAAAATATCTAAGAGTTTTGTTCTTGACACAAATTTTTTTTTTTATCTCTATTAGGAATGTAATTCTCAAATTGGGTCACATGTTGATAAAGACAGTTTAATTTTTAAACTTTATTGTTTCTTTTCTTTATGAATAAAACTATTTAAATGTGTTATGATTTGAGAATTTTATCTCTTATTTTGATGAAATACATAAAAGAAAGCCCTAAATTTTTTTTTCTTTTAATTTATTGTAATAATATGTTTTTTAAAATGTATTAAAAAAATCCCAAAATATCACCTCTAATAATTAACAAAATTATAATAAAATGTAGCATTATTTATTAAAGACAATTAGTAAGAAAAATATATATTCAAATATTTAACATGTGTAAAATATAATAAATTTTATTTTTATTTAATTATTATTATTATTATATTTTTCTTTTCTTTGCAATTCTATGCAAATAAATGATATATCTACATTTCTATTAAGGTTTTAACACAATTTGTCAGCCTTATAAAAGTTATTTTTTAAAAAAGATTTGTTAAGATTTAATTCATAACAAATTAAATAAATGAAAAAATTAGCTTCTATCATTAATTATTATTTATTAAGTATTGAGTTGCCTAACTAAATTTTAACACGGGTCACATGTGAGAGATACATAGGCAATCAAATTGATTTCATTTGGACATGTCTGATGCAATGCAGTTTATATTTTAAATATTGTTAACATTAAACAAATACGATTAACCTAGCTAAATCCAAGAACCAAAATCGCATGCAATGATGCAAATCAAAACTCTGGAGGGAAAAGAACGAAATAAATAAACAAAGCCTAAACCTAAAAATAATGATTTTTCTGAAATCAAAACAAACGTCTTCACAACGGTTGTGTTAATTCAGATCACTTTTGAAGCAGTGAACTGTGAAGAATGCGTGGAAGGAAGCATAATCCTTCAAACTGAAATCTGAGTCAACATTCATCAAAATACTACTACTATTCCATTACAATGGATCATTTTCTTACTGCTAGATTAGCTTCGAGGAACCTCAATATTGTTGTTTTATGTCACAATGCTTTTCTTTTCTTCACTTCACGTACTCGATCTATATCAAACACCATTCACCATAAAGGTGGAAACTTTGATGTTTATAGCCTCATAAACTTGTGTGAGTTGTGCCCTGAAATGGCCCTTAAACTCTTAAAAAGGTTGCAATTGAAAAACCCAGATGGGTCAAATGCTACAGTTGATCTTCTCAGAAACTATGGATTCTCTGAGACCCAGCTGTGTCGTCTTGTAAAGAGACAACCTTCTGTGCTTTTGTCAAAAAAACTCAAGTTCTTGCATTCTATTGGGTTTTCAACCACGGATCTACCCAAAATCCTCATTGGAAACACTTCAATTTTGGGATTAAGCTTGACCAAAACCATTATCCCTCGTTACAAGATCATTAGGAGTCTAGTTTCCAATGATAAGGAAGCAGTTTCCACTCTGAAGCATGGGTTGTGGTTCTTTAACAGAAGAAATGGAATGGATGATTCAGTTTCAAACATAGAGGTCTTGAGACAACTTGGGGTGCCTCAAAGTTCCATTTCCCTATTAGTGACAAATTTTCCTACTGTGGCATTTATGAAGCATTTGAGATTTGTTACGGCTGTGAATAAAGTGAAGGAAATGAGGTTTGATCCTTTGAAGTCAAATTTTCTTTTGGCTGTTCAAGTGCTTACAAAGATGAATGAAGTAATGTGGAAATCAAAATTAGAGATTTTTGAGAAGTGGGGCTGGTCCAGAGATATGTGTCTTACAGCTTTCAAAAGTCATCCTCATTATATAATGGCTTCTGAAAAGAAGATAACAAAAGTACTGAGCTTCTTGGCGAAGGATATGGGTTTGCCCCTAGAAGACATTTGCCCCGCAATTTTTAATAACAATTTGGAGAAGACAGTTATTCCTAGATTTGCTGTTGTTAAAATTTTGAAGTCTAGGGGTTTGGTAAAGAGTGATTTAAAATTAAGTAGCTTTGTTCGGATCAGTGAGAAAGTGTTTTTGGAGAGATATGTGACACGATTTCAGAAAATTGCGCCACTACTATTTAAAGGAACATAAAACTCATAGAAAAAGAGATACAGTGAAACAGAGGAAAAAACTTGTATGTCATATTTCATTACAGGAAATGTATCAGCTTTTATAGCTAGACAGCTAATGGCATACAACAGAAAAAAAATAACAGAATAGCCTATTTTTTTTGGCTTACTTTCTAACACACCTCCCTAAGCCAAAAACATTTTCATACAAACAACTCCAATAGATTCTCTCAGGCACTTAAACCTTTCATATTTCAAAGCTTTCGTAAAGATATCTGCAAGCTGAAATTCTAACTTGCAAAAATCAACATTCAGCTTTCCTTGATTAACTTGATCACGCAAGAAATGAAACCGAGTTTTAATATGCTTGCTTTTACCGTGACAGATTGGATTCTTAGCCAAATCAATGGCAGATTTGTTGTCTACCATAAGTGTTGTCTTTGACTTCAATTTAATCTTCAATTCATTCATCAACTTCTCCAACCATGCTGCTTGACATGCTGCTTCAGCAGCAGCAATATATTCCGCTTCGGAAGATGAAAGAGCAACTACAGGCTCTTTTTTAGAACTCCAGCTGATTGGAGCTCCTTCAATAAAGAAAATGTAACCAGCTGTGCTTTTTCTATCACCTTTATCACCACACCAATCTGAGTCCGAGAAACCAATTAGCTTCATATCCTCATGGTTAGTGTTCCTGGAAAACAGAATTCCAAACTCAGTCGTTCCACGTAAATACCTCAAGATCCTTTTTGCAGCAGTCATATGTGATTGCTTGGGTTCTTGCATGAACCTACTTATTAACCCAACACTGTGATTCAAGTCAGGCCTGGTATGACACAAATATCTCAAGCTTCCAACCATCTTTCTATAGACTGCTGGATCAACAGGTTCTTCAGCAGCATTTTGCTCAAGATGCAGACCAACTGCTGATGGTGTACCTGCAGGATTGCTCTGCAGCATGTTGAATCTCTTGAGCAAATCAGATGCATATTTGGTCTGATGCATAACGATTCCAGACTTGGTTTGTACAAACTCAATACCCAAGAAGTAACTCAATCTTTCAAGGTCGCTCATTTCAAACTCAGATAACATCTGAGATTTAAACTCATTTATCAATTCCTCACTGCTTCCTGTCACGAGTAAGTCATCCATATACAAGCAGATTATCAGTTTTTCTTCTAGCTTGTTATGTATCACAGTCTTAATATAAACTCCAAACTCAGATACACACTTTAGAAACTCCACTTGACACAAGAATTCATCTATTCTCTTATTCCAAGCTCTTGGAGCTTGTTTTAGGCCATATAAGGCCTTCTTGAGTTTATACACCTTGTGCTCATGCTTCTCCTTCTTGAATCCCTGAGGCTGCAGAACATAAACATCTTCCTCAAGAAATCCATTTAGAAATGCAGATTTGACGTCTAGCTGATGCATGCTCCAACCTTCTCGGTTAGCCATTGACACTACTAAACGAATTGTTTCAATACGTGCCACAGGGGCAAAAACTTCTCCATAATCCACCCCTTTTTCGTTGCAAGTATCCTTTTGCAACCAAACGAGCTTTGTGTCTCACTATCTCACCTTTCGGATTCACTTTTGTCTTGTAAACCCACTTCAACTCAATTGGTTTCTTATCAGCTGGCATATCCACTAATTCCCAGGTGTTGTTCTTCTCTATTGATCTGATTTCTTCCTCCATAGCACTCCACCATCTTCTGTCTTTCTTTGCCTCTTCAAACGTGAGAGGTTCAGCCTCCGCAACAAGAGCAAAGTGAATCAGATTGCCTTCGGTGGAGACCAAAGAATCATGTCCAAGATCATAATCTTGGAGATGTGTTGGTTGCTGCTTGATACGAGATGAACGCCTCACCTCCTGATCACTGCATTCTTCCTCATTTGATTCTAACTCATCAACAAGTAACATTTTTGACTGTGCTTTATCGGGCACGGGCTGCTCCCAGTTCCATTCTGCTGTTTCATCAATAACAACATCTCTACTAATACTTACTTGTCTAGTCTTTGGATCAAAAAGCCTGTAACCTCCAATTAAATGATACCCCACTAACACTTGTGGTATACCTTTATCATCCAACTTCTGCCTCTGTTGATCAGGTACACGTTTCCAGCATAGAGATCCGAAAATTTTGAGGTGTGTTACGCTTGGTTTTACACCTGTCCAAGCTTCCTCAGGTATCAACTCCTTCAGTCTCTTAGTGGGACACCTATTCATCACATAGGAAGCGGTGTTGACAGCTTCACCCCATAGGTATTGAGGCAGATTTTTGGTACGTAGCATGCACCTTACCATATTTAACAAACTTCTATTCTTCCTTTCAGCGCAGCCATTGTGTTGGGGTGTATATGGTGGTATGACTTGATGTTCCAACCCTTCTTCCTCACAGAATTTCATGAAGTTATTGGAGACATACTCTCCACCTCCATCCGTTCGTAGCACCTTCAGCCTCATTCCACTCTACTCTCAACAAGTCTCTTGAATTTTCGAAAAACATCAAACACCTCACTTTTTCTTTTGATAGGATAAACCCAAATTTTTCTTGTGGCATCATCAATGAAAGTGCAAAAATACTTGTTACCTCCAGGTGTCTCAACTTGGATGGGACCACACACATCAGAATAAACAAGTCCCAATTTCTCACTATTTTTCAGAGATACTGCATTGCTGAAACTCATACGAGTTTGCTTGCACTGCACACACTCCCTTCACACCTCTTCTGGAATGCTGATTTTAGGAAGTCCAGAAACAATTTGATTTTTTCCTAGCTGATGTAAATCTCTGAAGTTTAAATGACAGAATCGCTGATGCCATATCCATTCAATTTTTCCCTCTGAGGCAGAGAAACACTGATGCTTCATCGTCTTCATTGCAATCTGAAAAGTCCGATTCTGTGACAATTTAGCTTGTATCACAGCCCTCTTGTTTTGATAAAAAACACTCAAATTGTTATCCTCCATCTTCATTGTAAAACCTTTCTCAAGAAGCTGCCCAAGACTCATCAAATTAGTCTTCAAACCAGGCACGTATAGCACATTTTCAACCACAATTTCTCTTCCATCAAGATCCCATAGCACAACTCTTCCAACGCCTTCTGCTGTCAGACTGCTATTATCAGCAAACCTGATTTTTCCATGTGATGGTGTTTCTTGAATTTTTACAAACCAATCCTTTCTTCCGGTCATATGAGTTGAACATCCTGAATCAAGATACCAGGAAGATTCATCATTGCTTACTGCATCAGTTTGTGCCATCAATGTTACAACTTCAGAATCGGACGTCTCTTCTTCTTTAGCAAGATGTGCTTGACTCTTCTTACCCTTCACTCCATTACCATTTTGACATTCACGAGCAAAATGCCCTATCTTTTGGCACTTATAACACCTCACCTTTTTTTTTTTATCAAACCTCCATTCTTTCTTTTCATCACCAGACGAAGTTTCTTCTTGATTGCCTTCCTTGGATTCACCTGCTAACTTCAACTTTCCCTTATCAGTCACATATTTTCTGTCTGTCTTCTGACCAAAATTTTTACTCTTGTCTTTATAGCCAGTTCTTGCCTGAAGAGCCAATTCTTGAACTTTTTTCCTTTCATTTATTCTACACTCATGAGCTTCGAGCGAATGCTGCAGGTCTTCTAAATCCATTGAATCAAGATCACGTGTTTCTTCAATTGTAACCACTAAGTGATCAAATCGGTTAGGTAGAGTTCTTAATATCTTGTCAACCACTGATTGATCTGTGATAGTATCCTTGCATGCCCGCATGGCATTAACAAGTTCCTAAACTTTGTCAAAATATTCTGCAATAGACTCATTTTCCTCCATCATTAGAAGCTCAAATTTTCTTCTCAGCGTATGCAGTCTCACCTTCTTATTCTTGTCATCATCTCCATATGTCTTGACAAGAATCTCCCATGCTTCTTTGGCAGTTGTTGCCCTCGATATCTTGTTAAAGATTCTCGGACTTACACATTGATACAGTAGAAACCTGGCTTTACTATCAAGTTTCTGCTGATTCTTATAATTCTTTCTCTCTTCTTCACTAGCTTTCTTCCCAGGATCTTCAAGACCACCCATTATCACATCTGAGACATCTTGAAATCCAAATATGGCCATCATCTTGATTCGCCAATCATCAAACATCTTCCCATCGAAAACGGGTAGAGCCCCTTGAATAATACTACCATTTCCAGCCATCCTCCTGTCTTCTGATGAAAGAATCTTCACAGGATCTTCAAACTATGCTTAATTCCCAATACACACGATCTTGAAGAATCAAGACAGTCTTCAACACACTTTACAACCCTTCTAATTCTATCACCACTTTTCACAGGCCACTTTACACGAACCTTGCTCTAGATACCATAAAGGAACATAAAACTCATAGAGAAAGAGATACAGTGAAACAGAGGAGAAAACTTGTATTTCACAATGAAATGTATCAGCTTTTATAGCTAGACAGCTAATGGCATACAACAGAAAAAAAATAACAGAATAGCCTATTTTTTTTGGCTTACTTTCTAACACTATTGGAGGCATACAAAGGTCAGTTGTCAATTGATCATATGAATATACTTTAAACTTGAAAGTTCTCAATTGGCTGGACCTAATTGCTGAAATTGACTATTCAATTTTTATGATCTTCGTTTATTGCTTGATGGTTTGTGTTACTGATTTTTGACGATACTAAATTATTAGCGTGCTAGTTATGAGAACTGGCTACTTTCAATTCTACTCTCGTGATTGTTTTGTTTGATTTGAATAGGCAGAGCACATTAAGATTCCCATAGTTTTGTCATCCAAGGGTAAGATTGATGAATTGTTTTGTTCACTTTAACTATTATGGTAAATTTGTTTACAAACAGGCAAATGCTAACGGACACTGGTTAAGGAATAAAAAACTGAAGGCTTTTGTTAAGTAAATGTAATTAATAAACCTTCCTCCATGATTTCCAATGCAGTCAAATGTATTTTTCAAGAAAATCTTTCCACTTTCGATGTCTTAACCAATGCCTTAACGAAATCACATTGTCAATGTTAACCTGATATGCTATTTTCTTTTGAACTTCCCGATTCTTTATTAGTTGTTATATTGTAATCTGGCTAATGATTCAGTTAACTTGTAGGATATTTTTTTTTTCCCTTTCCCTATTCATTCAAATAAACATCTCCATTTTAGTCTTTCTTTAAAGACGGTGTGTGAGCACTATATACTACCAGAATTGAGAGTATACTAACCTTTGTTCTCCCATATGTTATGCTTTGGAGTACTATTACACATGATGAAGTTACTATTGATATGGAATTATAGTGTATTCTAACTAGACATGTACCGATTACTAGGTGATAACTGAACTGATCATATCTCTTGACCTAATTCAATTGTAATTATCACATATATCGGAGTACAATATCTTTTGATAATTTGGTTCACTTTTATTTTTGCTATTCTAGATTTGAACAGTTATATGAAGAAATTTTTTTAAGGCTTTGTTTGGGAGGGAGGGGAAGGCTCACGTGATGCTTATCCTTGTTTGAGAGTTTTTAGATGAGAGAGGGAAAGTTTATAAACCCTCCTAATCTTATGTTTTTTAAGTTGCTCTACATTGGTGGGTGTTGTATTAACCCTCCTTCCTCCTCCCTTCCCTCTTCTCCATTACCTTTCAAACACTTTTCTTTCTTCACTTTTCAAACTCTCAAACAAAGCTGTAGGCACTACACAAATCTAAGATCGATTAGTCACAAAAAAATAAAATAAAAATCTAAGATCAATTGATTAGGAAAGTTACATGTTAACCTAAAAGGGGAAAAATTATTAGCTCAAGCTCAAGCTTTGGATCTGTTTCACTCTAGCACAATGAAGGGTAATATAACTCAAAAAATGTAGTTTGGTCAGCTGCACGTGCCCAAAATAATAATATGAAATTTTTAACGTGTGTAAGGGTACAAAATAAGAACATATGTGTAGTAAACCTTTATTAGAAATCACAAGATATTAGATATCACAGAAATAAGTGCAGTGATAACATAAATATTTTTTAAAATAAAATCTTACTATTTAGTAATATTTTATTGTCCTTGGACACACATTAAAAAATCATATGATAATATTGTGGAGGAAGCTTCAATTTGTACATGGGAACTTTATTTCTCTCTTCTATATATAGTATTGATGCACTCAATTTGTTAAAAGGCCATATTTTTCTTTAGCTTCTGGTTTGCAAAACTCTGATATTTTTATCCCTCTCATGATGTGTTTTTCCTTTTCCCTTTGTGTTTGTAAAAGAACATGTACACTTCTGAAAGCCCTCAACTCTTAATAGACCTATGGATGTTGAAATTATTTTCTTTACACAGGAGTTAAGAAGTTTTTGGTTTAGTTATTTACATACATATCTGTGGCACAAAAAAGATACTGAAAATGCTGTTAATCAGTTTGTCCATTTCCTCATTACTTGTGTGGCAGTGTCTTTACAGCAGCTGTTCACAGTTGTGTGTTTGCTCTTTTTAATGGAGATATGTTATAATGTAGGAACACAATTTTTCCTGGTCTCCATAGATATTTTTTTCCCAGGGGAAGGAGTTAGTGGGAAGAAAATCAAGCAATTGGATGGAATACATATCATAAAGATTCAATTTATTCTATCATATTTTAAACAATTATAATCAATATCATTTCATTCCATTTTCCTTTATGCTATGACTTTCATTTGGATGTACTCAAAAATATTTTTATACTATCAATGTAAATATTTAAATATATTGTATACATGACTTCCAAAATAATTATTATAAAAGTTAATGATTGTGCTAACATAACAATTTATGATTGGATAACATTATAAAAAATATATTTTGATCAAATTCTTATTTTATTCCTTCTCAATGATCTAAATTGAACTTTTGGGTGAGATAAATTTTTGCTGCTACTCAAAATGACTAAGGTTAGGGATGTCTCAAGGCTCAAAGTGAAAGAGTACTTCCATATTGCCATTAAAGAGATTCTCACATTGATGATGTAATTTGAACGTGCATCCTTGTGAGATGTGAATTCACTTCTTAACAATAATTTAATTTTTTTATACATAAAATTTAAACTCAAAACCTTGTTTAAAAGAATAAGACGTGTTATTTTAATTAACTAATATCTAAATACACAAAATTAAAACATTTCAACAATTAAATCAATTTTTAATTTCAAACTTTTTAACAACAATGATTCATTTATCAATTCAATTTCAACAGCTAGTGAACAACTCAAGTGTTTAGTGCAACCAATTCATTATTTCCTTTCCAACTTGACAAGGACAAGTTACCAGCATTTTGTTTTTTATTTAAAAGAAGATAAAGAGAATAAAAAGATTGATATAGCAACATTAGCTTCCATTAGACTCTTGTTCATGCACTTTATAAACATGTTTTCTCATGCCATGGGCATAAAACATTTTTAGGATAGGTTATTTTATGGATGTAGCTAACTTTCAAGCTTTAGTTATTTTATTTTAATAATAACTTGTTTTATATTCAACTAATATCCATTACCACCTAAATCTTACCCAACAATTGAGTTGCCAACAACTTCTAAACTAACAGAACCCTCCAACATACATACCCTGCCTTGTAAATGGAATATATGTTAGAATATATGAAAAGTATTAAATGGAATATATAAAAAATATATTTGATGATATTTTGGTTATATTTAATAGTATATTATAATGAGAGGTATATGAGATGATACAACATAAAGCACTATCTCCCATTTATACTGATAATTCTAATTAAATAAAAAAACATGAATAAGGAAATTATGACAATTAATGCTATAAAGACAATGAAGATATTTTGAAATATTCTAAGATAAATCAATATATAATTTAATGTTTTAAAAATATATAATATTAAGATTTTTCACTTTGACATATATAATTTCATATCAGAACACCGTATTTGGGTATTTCTGCCTCTTAGTTTTAACTTTTTATATGATTATTAAATTATTTTAAAAATTTAACATCAACCCTTAAAAGTAAACTTAAACATATAATAAGAGTAATTATTTATTAAAAAATATTCATTATAATTTTTGTATCTCTAATGTAATAAACAATTTTTAATAAAAAATTACTATATTTAGATGTTTAACTTAACTCTAAAGATTGATGTTAATAAAACCAATTTTTTTAATAAAATTATTTAATTATTAAAAGAATTTGATTATGTAATATATGAATCACACTTGTTTTATTTCTTTTTTAAAAAATGCAAGATTTTCTCCCTTTCATTCACCCTCCTACAGTCCTACCCGTTTGCAGAGACTTTATCATGAAAATGGTGAAACGTCCCTTTTTTCTCATCACTGCTCAACAAGTTTGCTCTATTAATGTTACAATGTTTAATTGAAAAGGAAAAAGAGTTTTTCTTAAATAGATAATTTTATCCTTAAATAAATTTACTTTTTACATTCTGTGTAATTTTGGAAAAGGTGAAAAATCAGTTATCTTCCCATTTTTTTTGTAAGTATTGGGGGAAGAAAAGATAAAATTATTCAAACACTTATTAGTATAATTTTTTTAAAATTATTATTTTTTAAATTTTGCTATCCTTTAACCTATCACTTTGTGTACAGGTGAAGGTTATTTTTCTCTAAAATATAGGAAAAATCAATAATTAGGCATTGGCAAAAATGATAAAATGCTCTATTATCCTATTATACTTGAGAAAAAAAAAAGAGAAAAGAAAAAGAAAAATAACGGTTGGCGGTTACATAACGATATTCTGTTGAGCTCCTCAATCCAATAATCTGATCCTTTCTGGGTTTTCAGAATTCCCCCAGAAACCCGTTTCTCAAAACGACGCAGTATAAGATCGGGATCCTTCAATAGCTTCGATTCCTCTACTGCATAGCATCGTTCGACAGGGTACGATGCTTTGGTCCTTATCCCAAAGCAGAAATTTCACATCTCAAGTTTCAATAGGAAAATGTTAATCTGCTTTTTATTTTTATTTTTAATTATTGATTTGAACCTTACATGGATAGTGTTTTTTATGGATTTATTATGATAAATGTGTTGATGATTTGGGAAATTAGTTCTGTTGATAGGGAGATTGACAATGTTGTTGTTTTATTATTACTATTATTATTGAATAACTCTGAATTTGTCCATTATTTTCCACAATCTTAATAATTGCAATTCAAAACTTTAACATTTACATTATAAAATGATGTTTTCCCCAACAGATTTATTTAATATTTATCCTTTTCTCCTTCGTTATGGTTCTTTTATTTTGAGTGGGCGAGCTTTTTTTTTTTTTTTTTTGAATCATCAGCTTTGTATACTTTACTAGTTACTGATATTCAGAGGACCAACTGGATTGTTTTCTGGGCATAGTAATTTTGTGTAGGCTTGCTGTTTATTATTTATTATTATCTGTAGTAATTTCAACTGGCTTGAAGATTGAAGCATATCAGAATTCCTTTTCCTCCTAAGTTCTCAAGAGGAATACCGAATAATTTATTCTCTTGTGAAACTAATCATTTTCATTTGCTTCTTTTGGTTGGAGGATCTGTGACATTGCTGTTTGTTTTTGTAATTTGTTTTCACCTTTCCGAGCAGCTACATTTAGAAGTCAGAAAATGAGAATATGGTTCTTGGAGCTTTTGGTTAAAATTTGTTATGTACTATGAATGAACGCAGAGGCAGGATCAAGGAGAAAACTGTTACACATACATACATGTATGTATGTGAGAGTGTGTGTATCATGTATGTATCTATGTATATGAAAAAATTCTGCTTTATGGTGTCATTGATTGTAACTGAATGCTTAGTTGCTTACACTTTCCATGGGAAGTTCTAACCTGTTTAGGGTTGCTTTCATGGATTCTCTTTGATGTGCTTTCTGGATGGTTTCTTCTGAGAATCATTGTTAAGTAGGCACTGAGATTGTAAAGCTCTTTGAAACAAATATAATAGTAGTCTCTTTGATACATTAAAGACATGCAGTTGTTACTTGAATTTTCCATTTGTCTTTCTCCCTGTATACATATAACTTTTATAATGGTTATTGTTATCCTTAACTCAAATCATTTTAATGATAAACCATGCTGTAATGTATCTTTTGGGGTTTTAGTTTTTTAAAATTTTGTCTTCAAATTGTATTTGTTCACATATTAGGTGACTGGAAGTGGAAAGCAGGAAACACATACAATTTTTAAGAGACCTCTCAACGAAGGGGTAGTGTTGCGATGCTGGCTTCTAATGATATTATGGCATTCAAATCTTACCAGAACCGAGCTAATTTTTTCGTGAAGGAATATTTACTAGCAGACTCTCTCATTCCGTATACTTCTGTTATTAGTGGCATGTTTGCTTGCAAGATGGTATTTACATTGTAGTTTGTTCTCATTCTATTTTCTTAAAGTCTGTCATGTAAGATGTATTAAAGTTACTGTGATTATCTTTAGTTATAGCCTATCCTGTTTTTCAGGTCAACGATCTTATTCAGCTTATTGGCACTAATTACTTTAAGAGTTATTCTAGCTTCTCAAAAGTCCAACGTATTGAGTGGAATAACCGGTGACTAAATCTTTCTATTTAGTACAAATTCTCTGTTTTTGCTCATGACATAAGATGTTTATAGATTTTTATTCTCTGTGCAGTGCTATATCAACTTTGCATGCCATTTTCATAACAGTTATGTCGCTGTACTTTGTGTTTTGCTCAAATCTATATTCCAACCAGTCTACTGAATATATTACTCTTGAAAGCTCTCCATTGTCAACGTTCACACTGGGGGTAAGAACAATCTGTATTTTTTCATTTTGTTTCTCTTTTCTTATCCTTTGAGTTCCTGCCATTACTACTATGGTATCTGTGATAAACCTATGGAACCTATATTCTCATTACATAGAGTTGAGTAGTTTCTTGTTCTGTTTTTTTTTTCAATCTAATAGTAATTTCTTGTTCAAATGCAAGCTCTAGAGCTTGGGATAGTAAAGGTTCCTTTTAGAAATTATGTCTTTGTATATGCATTGGTTTATTTCAAGTGATTTTTGTATTACAAATATTGGAGTCCATTGTGGCAAGAAATTTTGTTTCTGGTCCTAGGTTTTGAGACTACTAAATTAGTAAAGCGAAAACTGTACCGGCTAACAGCTTCATTTTTCTTCAAAAAGAGAATAAAAGAAAGAAAAGAAACTTGACTTGTGGAGTTTATATCAAATATAGCTTGATTGTGATGGTAAAAGAGAAAACTACATTATATATAAGGAAGGATCTCTTAAATTAATGATGGATTGTCTATTTTGTGATTTACCTCTGCAAGTATGACTTGTGATAAACAATAATGTTTTGTAGTTCTGTAACTATGAAGGAAATTTCAGTAATCAAGTTCACTTAACAAGTTGAATGAGGACAGAGTTTATTTTCTGTATCAGTGTATGGCAAGTAACTTACATATAGTTAGCATAACCTTGAATAACCTACTTTTTGCTCATGGAAATTTAATCAGTCGTGTCTAACATTTTGATGAGTAAATTGATGGAGTGGAGTTTCAAAAACTGTAATAGACTCGTTGAGAGAAGAATCAAAAGATTGACATTATGAAATGATAAAGATATGATATTTTAGAGCTGATGTGGGAATAAACGTGCATCCTTAAAGCAAGGACCAAGCACACTTTATTTAGAAGCTTTTCCAGTGATGTCCCCTGGTTAGTTTAAAGTACAATTATTTCCTAAGTTTATAAAGTGGTGGCAGGAATGGTGTGTTTAATTGCTAAAGTTTGTATTTATTTGGGTTGGGACTTGCAATGATAGATAAACCTCCTCAAACAACAATTATCAACAGCAGGCTATCGTGGAATAGTGAAGCGGCCACAAATTGCTACAAAATTTGAATAGCAGAACATTTTTAAAAGCAGCATTAGACCTTTTTTTTCCCTAAAAAAGCATTATTTTGGGGAATTTTTTTACTTTCATAGTTATTTACTCGTATGTTTCACTTAATAGCTATGAATTTTATTTTTAATTATGAATGTGTCATAGATTTTGAGTTTTTATTTTTTTTATTTTTTTTATTTTATAATTTTGAGCATTTATATATATAGTATAAATTATATAATTTGTATATAAAATTTCCAAATAACGTTATCCCACTACACCATAAATTTTTTGGCATTGGCTGCTATGCACCAATATTTGAGATTAATAACTATGCCTCAAACTCTTGATGGGGTTTCAGACTCAACAGGCTTATGAAATCAGGCAAGAATCTTTATTCGTACAAACATAGCATGAAGTATGGAGCCCTCATGCTGCCTTTTCTATTTGGCATTCAATAAACATGGTCATTGATTCAAGTACCCCTGTAATCCGTTAATATCTTTTCCTTTGCTGATTGAATAATAAAAAGAAATGAACATGGTCAAACAATGTCTATTATGAAACCATTTAAATTGATTGCTAATTCTGTGTTTTTTAGATGTTATGTGGGTTTTGCATCTCCTATATCACATTGCATTGCTTTCTAATGTTGGATGGTTGGGATCTAATGGAGCTTAATAATTCATTGAGCTTGTCTGTGTATAAGAAGCCTTTTAGACTTCTTCCTGTTAGCAGACAATGCCATCTTTTCCTCAGTCTGTTTTGCAATTGATGAGCTAGCTACAATTTTTACTTAATCTCTCCTCATTTTCTTGGTAGAAAATATTCTGCTGGCATGTCCTTTTTCTGTAATTCTCCCTGTTTTATACTTGTAATGATTCAAATCTGGGAATCAAATTCGTTGTCCTGATACATTTGATTGTGACAGATTGTATTACTTTGTATTACTTTCTTTTATCTGGTGAAGTCTTTATTTCTTATGTACGATATTTATTGTGACAGATTTCTGTTGGTTACTTCATTGCTGATCTTGGGATAATATTGTGGTTTTTTCCTTCTCTTGGTGGATATGAGTATGTAAGGATAAAATCTTTTTAACTTGGATAGTTTAAGCGAACCTATCTTGTGAAGTTTACTTCTCTTAATCAATTTTAAGATATTTCACTTGATAGGAACCCAGCTGGAGATGATTATGGTCGGGATTTAACCTGACTTCATATTAACATTGGTTCAGGTGATTCATCATCTGTTTTCTTTAGTAGCAGTAGCATATTCAATGTTGAGTGGGGAAGGACAGCTTTACACGTTCATGGTCCTGATCTCCGAGACAACCACTCCAGGGATCAATTTGAGATGGTAATCTTTCTCTTTTATTGAATTCTATTTGTTGTGTAATCTTTTGCTTTGTTAATGATTTGGTGTTTGTGAAGGTATCTTGATGCGGCTGGAATGAAAAGGTCCAAAGCTTATCTCATCAACGGGGTTGTAATATTCATCGCTTGGCTGGTGGGTCAACAGTTTGAAATACATTTATATTTTCTCTTATAATTTTTTATTTTTGCCAAATCCTTAGTGTGAGATAGCTTATCATGTTGAATACATAGAATTCTCATTCTTGTTTTGTTGTACTTGCTTGCCAAAATGGTCCCTGTGCAGGTTGCCCGAATACTTCTGTTCATTTACATGTTTTACCATGTCTACTTGCACTTTGATCAGGTAATAACTATTAGCACCCTGAATTTGAATTTTGTCTAGTGTGTGGTGCTCTATAGGTAGCTGATCTTGACATTCAATTTTTGGCCTTTTAAAATTAAAACATGTCTTCATATTGTCTTGTCTTGGATGTTAACTGGCCTAGATCATGAATCTATTTGTTGCGACAAGATTAGACCATCTTTTAAACATCTATTTTTCATTATCAATTAATAATGTAATTTATGCTTGGCATTTGGGGAACAGTAGGATTGTGGTGGCAAGGATCAATATTTAGTCTAGTTGTATTATGTCTATAGACACATGTACATACATACCACTATGCCTACAAAATAACTATTGAGGCCAAATTGGTGAAGTTGGTCCAATGAATTTAGATTCATTGGCTCCTTGTTGGATAACTTAGATGTCCCTCGAGACAGGTGCAAACGTGGTCATATACTGTAATATTGTTGGGTGGGAATTTAGCAACAATTGGCTCATTTTTCTTTTTAATCTTATTTCTGGTAAAACAATATGTTGTTGGTCTTGAGAAGCAAATATCATTGTTCAACTATTCAACAGGTTGAGCAGATGCACACAGTTGGGCAGATATTAGTAATTGTTGTGCCATTGGTGCTATCGGCTATGAACTTATTTTGGTTTGCAAAGATTATCAAAGGCTTGAGGAAGACATTGGCAAAGAGGCAGTAAATAGTCTGCTTAGTGAAACTTTTTGAAGAAAATGTATAGGTTACCCTTGTCCTTGTCAATATCCATCTCGCCTTGCTTCCCATAAAGATCTGAACTTAACTGTATAAACTTTTTTCTTTTCATTTCCCTGTATATGTATATACAAAGAGGGGATATTACTTCCTCCACATTAAAAGGCTTTATATTTGCACTTAATTTCTTATTATTAATTTTATTTTTATGTAATGGCTCCAGATTATTTTTATTAAATTTCAATTAACTACGTGAAATACTCTCGACCATAATCAAAATTGATAAGCATGAAGTATAACGTAAAAAATGTGAATATCAAAACTTAATATTTGGCATAATAAATTAAAATTTTAACGTGTTTCGATGTCATTTGGGTCGCTTTGCTTGGGTGGTTTTCTTCTCGTACGGTGCTGCTTTTGATGTAATTCATGGTCAAAAAAATAAGAGAAAGGTAGAAGACTATTATAGAAGAGTCTATGACTAAAATTATCATAACCATATCGAATTCGTAGGTTAGGCATCTTTACCAAAACTTTTCACAAAATTTCTCGCATGCTGTTGTCGAGCTGCGTGCAGGTGTGCAACAGTTATCAGGTATTTCGTCCATCACTACATAAAATATTACTTCCATTCTTATTTTATAAAATAAATTTTAATTCATCCAAATTAATAATTTTTTCTCTTTCTCTTTCTCTTTCTCTTTATATGTAATAAATTTATATTATTTTAAAAATATTTATAATATTTAATAATTAAATTAATATTATGTATATTAAATATATGAATATAAGTAATAAATAGATATCTTATTAGTATAAATTTCATAATAAATAAAAAGAAGTAATTTATGTATTTAAATTTTTTTATTTTTTATAAATAAGATAAAAATATTAATAATTACTTTTTAATAAATAGGACCAAATATAGTATTTATTAAAATTTAAAATATTACACACCCAAATTAATCACCGATAATTTTTCTTAATTTAATCATTGGGGAGAAAATAAAAGTCATCAATTTTTTTTTTTTGTATTATTTTGAGAAATAAACTAGTTTTTCTGTTAAAAGATTCATGTTTAACTAAACAAAAGTACTTTCATAAACTATTAATTAGTTAAGATGTATCTTAAAACATAATTTTTTAATTTTTTTTAACCAAATTGATGTCAAGAAGAATTTATTAGAGTCAATTTACATAATTTTATATTCTAGAGCTAATTTGTAAAGATTGATTTGACTAAAAACTGAAGTTTTTTTAAAAAGTATTTTAGTAGATAAAAATAAATGGTCATTTTTGTAATTTAAATAGCTTTATTAAGTTAAATAGGAGCATTTTAACCGAAGAACTAATTAAGATGTCTCGTGAAAAAGAATTTCATAAACTGTTTTGTAACTTTTTTCTAAGCACTAAATTAAGTTTATTAAAATTTTTAAGAGATTATTTTAAGCATTTACTGTACCAAAAGAAAAGATTTTAAGATGCATTCTCATGTGTGTTATTTTTTTTTTCATTTACAAAACTTTTGATAGTTTTTGAATTCTCATAAATATTTTAAAAAGAGTATTTATGGAATATTTGATGTATCATATTAAAATATTTTCATCATATATATATATATTTGTCTAAATTATTTCACAATTAAACAAATTATTTAAATATTTATTTTCAAACTTGAATTTTTAAACTAAAAAAACACATTTCAATTCAAATTCAAATTTAATTTATAAGTATTGATTCTTTCAAATAATAAATTGAAATATAATTTGTTTCACACCAAATTAAAGTCTATGATTTACTACATGCACCACCTAGTTATTTTCTTCTCTAACTTCTTATTTTCTCATTTTAAGTCATCTATCGAAATTTTATCTTTATTATTCATTTATTTCTTACTTTGTCTGAGTGCTTCTTCAATTTTTAAAAGAATTATGCATTTCTTTTGTATGCAGATATTTCCTAGAAATAATTCTAAATACTCCTACTTTGTATTTCTACAAATCCTCCTAATTACTAAATGAAACAAAAAAAGTATTTAATGTATTTAATGTTTTAAAAACAACCATAAATGAACATTGTCATTTAATACTTACTTAGTACGAGGATTATTAGGAGGATAAAGCAGATCTCATTTCTTAGTAATAATATTTTTGGTTGTCTTGAATTTTCTAACATTTAAGATGTGCAATGAAGTTTTAAATTTTACACGCAAAAAGTTGTTCACCTTAATCCAACAATTTAATTTTGCAGTCATAAATCATCAAAGGTCAAACTAGTTATCCTTCTAAGCTTCTTCCATCATATATATATTCTTCTATTTCTTTTCTTGTGATGGTTTCCTAACTAATCACTTTTAATTTATGCTTCACTTAGAATTATTCTCAAGAACATAAATACACCCTGTCATAGATTTAAGGGTAGCATGGTAATCCTTCATCATATTCTTCTTCTTCTAGCTTTTATGCTCCATCAGAAATGCATGAACTTGAAGTTTCACACCAAATTAGTAAATTAGGTATGAAACTTTGTTTGTTTCTACGTAATTACATATGATTCCAAAAACAAGAAATCAAATTCGGTAGCACTGTTTTCTTTTCCTTTATATATTGCACATGTTTTGATTAGTACAATCAAAACATGTTATTTTATTTTATTTCATGAACAAAGTTAAACACATGGTAATAAAGGTTTATATATTGGAGGGTGGCGAGATTTTAAGGTAAAAAATAAAATAAAATTTAAGTAACATAATAAGCAGTTAAATAAAGGTAATCCTGAAAGTTCTTCTGGATAAATGTAAAAAGAAAAATATGTAATTTTAAGGTGTTTTTTTTAACAAATTATTATTTTGATCATATTAGAAGGACACTAATTAAAATTACTTTTTTTTTTTATAGAATTTAGATTTTGCAAAAATTAATATATTATATAAAATTTATTATTATTATTATTATTATTATTATTATTATTATGAATCAACTATATTTTTTGGACGGTTAGGTACGCATATCTAAAGTAACATGTTAAATTAATGTTATTATAATTAACAAAGATGGAAAAACCAAATTTGGTCTGCTAGTATAATCACAGTCGGCATATGACCTATGGCTATACCTATATGTTTTCACTTTTGTAAGGCCCACAGAACAAAAAAAAGTGTACATGTGTGTCAAAAAGATTAAATTTATTTTAGGAATTAAAAATTCTTAAAGATCTTATGAGTATATATAATTTTTTTATTTTTAAAAGTAAAAGCAAATTTAATAATTTTTGTAACTATGATAAAATGTTTGAATTGTGATAAACTTGAAGTGAAAATGTCAATTTGAGTTTATGATAAGTGATCTTAGATATGAAAATAAAAACTCATTACTTGCTTAATGTTATAATGAGAACAAAACAATAGAAGTCTATCTAAACCATTTTTATTTGAGATAATACAACTTACCAAAATGCCTAAACCTTGGATAAGTATTGCATGTGAGTTCATAGAAAATAATTACACATATTCAAATTGTCAAGTCTAAATTTATATAATTGGTGTCATGGGATTGAACAGAACTAGAATCAACAACATTATTATCTGCTGTATTTGGTGAAGAAAAACGCATTCTCTCTTGATCACTATGCATCGCTGGAATTAGGGGAGAGCTATAAGAATACGAGATTTCTAAGAATTTCATCGTTTTGCTATTTTCTTCATTTGAGATATCACTAAGAATGCATGCACTTGACTCGGGCTCCTGCAAAATATTAGAGGAAATCTTATTTTCAATATCCTAATGGGAAAACCAATTAACTGTGCAGTATACACATTACGTGATTATTTTTTAGGATTTATCTGTATATTTTCTAATTAGAAGTTTATATTAATTAAAGTCGGAAGATTAGTCAGATGAAGATTAGAAACACACTCTTTAACATATTTTTAAGTTCTTTATTAAAAATTATAAAAATATACAAAAAAAACTTATTAACTTAGATGTTTGAATTATTAAATTAAAAATGAGACTCATAAATCTTATGATTTTTAATAAAGAAAGAAAGTGTGTTGGAGTTTGAAGCAAGTGTAAGGAAAAAAGAGTTTTTGGGGTGTGGATGCTCAGTAAAAGAAAGAGGAAAAGGAAGAAGATGAAAGAAAAGAAAAAAAGTAATTTCAAAAGTTTATAAGAAAAATTTAAAAAAAAATATTTTTTAACAAATTTAATATATTTTAATAAAAATTATTTAAAATAATTTTATAAATTAAATCAAAATAAAAAAGTCTGAGAATCAAATTGAAATAAAATTAAGAGTTAAAAGACAAATATACTAATTTAACTATATATTATTATGAGAGAGAAATGTTAGTTTCAAACACACTCTTTATTAATTAAATATTTTTAAAAATTATAAAAATTGTGAGTCTCATTTATATTTTTAAGGAATTTCAGTCATATTTTTATAATTTTAAATAAATTTTAATTAATAAATAAAATTGTGTTTGAAATAATGTATTAAAAATATACTTTAAACACTTTTCTTATATAAGAAATAAATTTTGAAATATATATTTATAAGTAAAGGTTAAAAAGTTAAAAGCATATGAGAAATAATGTAAGTAAACTTTTATCATTGCATATGAGTAGCACAGAACTAAAAAGAACTTATATAATAAAAGCATTGTGGACAAACGTTCCCTAGTCATCATTCAACTGTATACAAATTTTAACAATACACTGTTTAATTCACTTTTTGTTATTAGATAAAATTTATTAAAATTAAAAATTAAAAATATAATAATTTATAGATAAAAAAAGTGAGACTTACTTAAATTTGATAGTTTTTAACAAATTTTAATTAAAAATAAAAGTATGTTAAATATTATATTTTTAGCTTTTTTTTTTCTCGACTAAAGTAACATTACTGATTTCCTAAACAATTGTTTGATCTGATGCGTTATAGCTGAAGAAGCTTGAATTGATAAAAGTGATATGAAATACTAAAAAAAATGGTACCTGATTTAGATCATAATCGTTTTCACTGGTTTGAGAAACTCCTCTGTTGTCTAGTGGGAGAATTTCCTTATCCACAATGCCCTTATCATATTTTGATATTCTTGATTTAGCTCCTACTGATCTGAATCAAAATGGTGTAAAAGATGTTAATGATCAATATGTAGTCATAAAAATAAACTAATAACACCATTCTTTTGTTTATTACTTAAATTTACGATATTA